AGAGGCCCCTGGAGACCACCACCCCGAGTCCCAGGAGCCCTTTGGAGATGCTCTGCTGATGAGAGGAAGGATGGAGACACCCCCTTTGGCCAAGGAGGGGAGCGGAAAAGGCCCCATGGTTCTTCAGCCTGGGAGCTGTGGGGAGAGCTGGACCAGAACCGAGCAGAAGGTCCTGCAGGAGGGAACCATCCTCCCTTCAGAAGTTCCGCCCTGGAGCTCCATCCAATATCGGGAGGCTGAGGGTCCCCGAGAACTTTGCAGCCGACTCCATGACTTGTGCAGGCGATGGCTGAACCCAGGAAAACACAGCAAAGCCCAGATGCTGGACCTGGTGGTTCTGGAGCGTCTCCTGGCTCTCCTGCCCCCAGAGATGGAGGGCTGGGTGCAGGAGTGTGGAGCAGAGAGCAGCTCCCAGGCGGTGGCCCTGGCGGAAGGCTTCCTCCTGAGCCAGGCGGAGGAGCAGAAGGAGCAGTTCCAGTGGCAGGTGGGAGGCTTTAGGGAGCTTGGAAGGGAATAAATAGTGTTTGAATGCTTCACCCCTCCTTCCCAAACTTCTCCCACGTTGATAATATGTGGCAATTCACCAGTTCTTTATTTATTTATTTTATTTATTTGATTTGCCAATTGTTTACAAGATAAGTATAAGTGTATACATAGTTGTGAATATATGAAATGGGTACCTATAAGAAAAATAAAAGAAGAATAAGAGAAACAATAGGACAGGGACGTTGGTGTGCTTATGCACGCCACAATGTTCCATTGTTTTCTCACTCAGCCACACGGATGGATATTGGGAGCTTTGAGGTTGTGTTCCAAATATAAGAATCCACTTTGTGTCTTGTGACGGTCCTTAATTCTGCTTCTTCCTTCCTTCCTCCTATTTGAAGTGCTGCAGTGTGGAGATCAGAGATCCTGAGGGAAAGAAGAACCCATCAAATCCCCCTCAGGAGCTATTTTTCAGGAGGATCCCTTGGGAAAACCCATGTCAAGACACTTCAGGAGGTAATGGAATAGCCCCTAATTCCCCATCTCTCTTACCTTCGCTCTCCCTTCTCTTCTGTAGAATACCTCCTCCTATTTTGTTAATCATGGATTTGGAAATTATTCCTTACAGAGAAACAAAGAATGAAGCTTTCTGGTTTTTATGATGGAGATCAAACAGCAGTTGAAGCTCCAAATCAAGTAAGAAAGGGAAAAGATATTAGATTTCTATTCTTCCTTCAGGAAGTGAAGCGGGTGTGCAGAGGGCTTTCTCCAGAGTGGCTGTGTTGAGCATGTAATCATGGTACTTGTTAAGCCTGGATTCCCCAACGGGTGTTAAGGAAAACAAACTAAACAGAATGTGCAGCGAAGTCAGATAGGAAGACAGGTAAATGTGTGAGATAAGTTTTCTAGTTAACACGCAGTAAAAATACAGATACGCTTGTGCTATCAAAAATATAGTTTATTCCATTTAAGAATTATAGCATAGTCATATAAACGGTCCATTAGTCATATATCAATTTCAGTCAAGTCTTGTCGGGGATACTCTAATTGCAAAGTCCGTGTCGAATAGCCAGTGTCAGTACACATATAATAAATCTGTCCAAAACTTATCTTCTCTCCGTTGAGAAATATCTTCAAAGTAATCCAACACTTCTTCTCCTTCCCGATCCAGCAAGAACGCAGTCTTCAATAAGCCAGCCAGTAATTAGGGATCAGTAAGCCAGAGAGTGCCTTGCTGCTTATATAGTACTTTTACAGCTGCACCCTTAATTACATTCCTTTAGCTTAAAGTCACATACACTTTATCTGACAAACCATGATTCATCATTTTATTATCTTTACCCAAAACAGTTAAGGTAAAACAATGTTATCCCTAACAGTACTTTGGCTTACAAAATAATTTCCAGTCCTCTGGTTTGCACCTCAATTAGGAAATCAAACTTTCCCGCTTTGCAAAGGCTGAGAAATGACTTTCCCAGTGCATTTTTTCTTCTTTGCTTTCTTCCTTTCAGCCAATGGCTCAGACTACTAGATCAATCAATGACAGACAGAGTGATAGATCATTTGATCCAGAAGTGGGATTACTTTGCTGAAAGGCACTGAAGGTTTTGCAGAATCAGTGAACTTGATAAAACTTCCCCAAATATTTCTTCACTGAAAGCAACTTGCAGATTTGCCCACTTGCTCACCTAAAATTAGGACTTGGGTGACGCACAGCCATTTAACTTAGTGCATATTTTTGCTTTGGGAATTTGGGAACAATGAAACAGAATAACGGAGGTGGGAGGGATCTTGGAGGTCTTCTAGTCCAACCCCCTGCTCAGACAGGAAGCCCTATAACATTTCAGATAAATGGCTGTCCAATTTCTTCATAAACACCTCCAGTGTTGGAACATCCATAATTCCTGGAGGGAAGTCATTCCACTGATTAATTGTTCTCACTGTCTGGAAATTTCTCTTTACTTGTAGGCTGTTTCTTTCCTCGAATAGTTTCCATCCATTGCTTCTTAGAACACTGCTGTCATGTCACTAGACATCCTCAATTCTAGCAACCACTCTTTATATGTTTTAGCCTCCAGTCCACTAATAATTTTTGTTGCTCTTCTCTGCACTCTTTCTGGAGTCTCAAGATCTTTTTTACATCTGGCAACCAAAACTGGATGTAATATTCCAAGTGTGGTCTTACCAAGGCATTATAAAGTGGTACTAACACTTCATGTCATCTTGATTCTATTCCTCTTAATGGAGCCTATGATTCTGTTGGGATTTTGGGGGGCAACTGAAACTTAGTGCTGACTCATGTTTAAGTCGTTGTCCACTAGGACTCCAAGATTCCTGTTGCACTTACTACTGTTGAGCCCGGTATCACTATTCTATGCCGGTGCATTTGTTTTTTGTTTTTTTCTAAATGTAGAACCTTACATTTCTCACTGTTGATTTCGTTTTGTTAGATGGGGCCCAATCTGTCGATCCTTCTGTATCTCGAGCTTATCTTCTGGAGTGTTGGTATTTCCTGTCAATTTGGTCTTGTCTGCAAATTTGATGAATTCCTCTTTATTTTTATAATAAAAATTTTATTATTTAAGTTTTCACAAACATACAAATACAAATAAAATATCTTTTTTTGAAAACAGTGTGACCCCGGGTTATCACTTCTCCATACAGACATAAACTCAATACATATTTATCTTATACATTCTAATCCATATCATAACTATTTTTGCATTTTTTTCAATAGCTTTTCCCTTTCTTTACTTCCTATAGCCTTATTTTAAATTATCTCATTCCTTTCTTAATTCAATTACATATCTTTTTCTAATTTTTAAAATCTAATCAATGTTTTTATACTTTTGTCTGTCCTGTTTACAATTTCATATTATCTTTTCTCATAACACAAATTTTCCCCTGTAATTACTAGACTGGAGTGTAACACCTTTGTATCTTTTTTCAAATCTTGTTTAAACATTTAAGTTACACCTTTACAGTTATAACATTCATTTTCTAACCTCTGTTTTATAACACATACCTATTTTCAATTGAATTCTGCTTGGTACATTCCCTTAAAAATACACACTAAATTCTTAAAAGAAAAAAGTATATATGTATATATATCTGTGTATATATGTATAACAATAGCAAATGGAATAATCAAGTACAGCTCTGCCATTAATATTAATAACAATCTTTTACATTTCTATTTCTTTTAACAAACATTACCTAGTAATATCAGTTGCCTTTCACTTTAATCATCTATATTTCATATTTTACTTATTACTGTCTTTAAATAAAAACCAAACAATAGTTATTAATAGTAGTCAATAAAGTTATTGTTCTTATTCAAGTTCATCTTGTCAACTGATAAAGATTTTCCATGTTTCTTTTCAGTTTTTTTTAAACTTTCTTTTTAAATCATTGAGAGTCTTATTCTCTTTACAAACAAATATTCCACTACACACCAATAGAAATTTTTTCTATCACTTTAATAATCTAACATATTTTCTAACCCTTTTCTATTTCTAATATAACAATTCTATCCCATGCACCCTTGCAGAATCCTCTCCTTGTTAAATTTTAACCATTGTCTGTCTTTTAAATAGGTTTATACCTTTAATTCTTGTACGCTTTTCCTGTACCTCTACATCTTGTTTCTGTCCTTTGTAGCTTCTTTTCCTTTCCCTTTTTCCTCTCTTCTTCCCCCTCCCCTTTTTATTCCCTTTTCTATCTGATTCTCCCTTCTGTGACCCTCCATTCTGCTTTCTGATATTATGATTACTTTTCAGATTACTGTTTTTTTTTCTTGTTGCTTCAGTGCTTCAAGTTTTTAACTCCCTTTCCCCCCTTTCCCTTTTTTACCCCACTTAAAATTGCTTGGTCATTAAAGATGGCTTCTTCGTTGTCCCACCCTTCTTGTTCTGCCTGCGTTTCTTGTTGTTTTTCATAGTTCAAGATCTCCATTTCTAACAATTGAAATATGAAGCCAAAAGATCCTCTTCCCTCTTGTGCTTCTTCTTTTTGTTCTTTAAGTCTCATTTTTAACTCTTCAAGGAGTGATGCCATTTTAAAAAAATTTAAACAACCCCCAATTGCTTTTATTTTGTTTCATTAGGATTCTCCATCCAAAGTTCCAGGAATCATCCAATAATACAAAACAGTTTCTTACTTCTTTTCTCACTTACTCTTTCCAGGAGCTTTGTTATCTTGTAACAAAGTTTCAGCTACAATGTATCTTTTGCAAGCCTTGTTAAAATTCCACTATCGATTTTTTTTTAAGTTCCAGGTGGCCTCCTCCATTTTCCAGATTCCACCCTCTTTTTTCCTTTTTCCCTTTTTCCCTCCGCTGCTTTCTTTCTTTTCTTAAAATTATCCAAGAATCTTTATCCCTTTGACACTTTATTTTCAGCTAGAAATAGCCTATTAATGTCAAAGTGGATTACTAACAATTTTTTATTCAAATCTCTTTTTCTTAACGTTCCAAGTCAATTAAACCTGTCAATGTGAAAGGAAAAAAAGCCAATTCAATTTCTTTCACTTTCTCTTTTGCCGCTTAAAATCTTTTTTAGGAATATTTAGTCTTTAAAGTTCAGGTTCCAGGTACCTTAAATAGATGTTCTCCATTCAACCAGGTCAGTCAAGCTTTCTCCTTTAAACTTCCTCCTGCACAATCTTGTCTGGTCGGGTTCTTCTTTGAGATGGCCATTTCTGACCACCGCTGCAAACGCCTTTGGGAAAGGGAGTAATGGCTAGCCAAGGAGAGATGCGGCTCTACTCAACCCGGCTGACGGCTCCCCCTTCTTCACCACCTCTACGGGGTGGTTTCAGCCCCAAATCCGGGCGGCTTGGGGTGCTACAGCGGCGAGCACAGATCAAAACTGCGCACGATCGTGATTTTGGTCCGTTGCTGAAGAAGCCCAAACCGGAAGTTGATGAATTCCTCTTCTATCCTCTTGTCTAAATCAATGATGAAGATGAACAGATCTTGCGAATCCTCCTCTTCTGTTCTTTTTTCCGTGTCCAGGAGGGTTTGGTGTCCTTCGAAGAAGTAGCTGTGTATTTCTCTAAGGAGGAATGGTCTCAGCTAGATCCTGACCAGAAAGCGCTGCATTCAGAAGTCATGCTTGAAAACTATAGGAACGTGGTCTCTCTGGGTAAGAGTTTTCTAGTCCCCAATCAGAGTTCAAGAA